ATTTATATAGAGAACTTTTCATATTCGTATCGGTGGCGTATACTTAATTTATCATTAATTATATACGCAGTGTTTATCATAAAATGATATGCTCAACGCACCTATAAATAGGACTTGACGATAATGAAAACAGCAGACTGAAAGAAAACTTCAAAGTTGTAGAGAAATTAAAATCGAAAAGAACAGAAATCGAAGCGAAGAGGCGGGCCAGACAGAATCCCCCAAGGGCGAAGACGCCCCCGAAACGTCAATGCAAAATTAATTCAAATTCTCAATTCGCCTGCAATCGAACAGCAAAAGAAGCGAAAAATAGAAAAATAATAAGAAAAACAAAAAAAAAGTCGCGCAATTGCTGCGACGCTGTTCGCTGATAACGGCATTTGGCAGGCACTAAGAGAGCAAAGCAACAACAACAAGAGGAACAACAAGAGCAGCAACAGAAACTAGCACATTAAAAGGTGATAAAAGGTAGCGAAAAGAAAGGAATTATAAGAGAATTAATATTGAACGTTAGATGTGCCAGAGCGAGGGAGCTAGCAAGAGCGAGAGGGAGAGAGGGCCACTGGTTGAGTGTGACAAATGAAAGTGTGAGAGCGTGTCAACTAGCTGATGCCCTTTAGTAAGCGCTGAGCCGTCAGGGAAGCTACACGACTTTTGGACAGCTGATCGAAGCTGAAGTAAAATTAAATATGTAATGCAAGAATAAATTAAGTAGTTATATAGGTGGCATATATTGTATGTATGTAAACATCTGTGTATTCCAACTAGTTATTATAGGGTGTTCCTTAGTCATTGTCAACTTTATAATATTTATGCTTATTTGTGGTAATTGGAACGTAACCCATTTGGCGGTTTGCCGCGCAAAAACATGAAAAGCTGCAGCTGTTTAGGGTCTAAAGCCAATCGCCGCCCCCTGCCGCTGTCCGCTGCGCGCTGTCACGCCGCTAGACACACACACACACTCACATGTGCGTGTGTATATTTTTATTTATATGTATTATTATTTAATAGAGGTGCCGCATAAAATGTTTTTACGGGCCGCACAAACAATTGACATTTTACATTCGAATGAAAGGCAAAGAGAGCAAACGGCAAAACGGTAAATGAATGATGAGCAATGTAAAGCGTCAAGTGCAAAATACAACAACAACAACAACAACAATAACGATAATAACAATAACAAAAGTGGAAAAAGAGTGAAAGAATTGTGCAAATCAAGAAATCAGTTACAACAATAACAACAACAATTGAAGCGGCGACAACAACAACAACAAGAACAATTGTTCCACATGCGGCATTTAATCATGACCCCAACATCGCTGTCGATGTCGACGCCAACGCTGTCGTCGCTGCATCATCAGCGCATGTCGCGGTCGCAGCTGCAGTTGACGCTGCAGTCGCAGTCGCAGTCACCATCGCCGCTAACGCCGCATTCGGCTTCTCCGTCATTTTTTGGCATACCCGGCTCTTCGCCGCAATTCCCCGCCAACTATGAGCGCAGCGAAAAAGTGAGTTGATTTTGTTTTTGTTTTTCGATTTTGTTTTGTTCACTCCCCCAATCGAAAATGTTAGTATGGGTGCGAGCGTATAGAGGTATATATATATATTTTTTTTTTGGTAACTATTAGAGAAGTCTTGAATAATATATATTTATGATTTCTTAGGAGAAAAAAATGCTTTGAAATTGCAATTTTTCCATTAATGCAATTATTAATATTTGTGAATACAATCTTATGTTTTTCCATGACAATTTTAAAGTTGTTTTACTAAGCCGAAAGTTGGCTAGGTTCAATGACCTCAACTCATTTCTCTGTCCATTTTGGCAACCTTTATTTGGGCTGCAAAATAATTTCACGCGTGTTGAATTTTGAATTATTTAAATTTTTCGCTAACGGTTATAGTGTGAGAAAGAGAATAATTAGTATATAGAATAAGTATGAATGTATATAGAAATCATAAAAAAAGAATACATATTTAAAACTTGAATTTAAAATTAAATAATTAGTAATATTGAAAAAAGTTTATGTACTTTCGCTATATTATTAAATAAAATACATGAAGTTTCTGTAAACATTATCTATTAAATTTAAAAGTTTCTGTTAATCTTTCAACTTTTCACATTTGAAACTCTCTCATTACATTTCAAACTCCTTCTCTATGACCTTTAGGCGTGCCCTCTGACATTGTACTGTTGGACTTATTATAAGTCTAGCTAACAAATTTGGCGTAATTCCTGCAGTTTATCTAAAACTTTAGCAATTAGAACAATTTTCGCGAGCTTTAGAAATTGTGTTGTGCAATAATTAATGAGGAACCGCAAATGGCTTTCGAGCAGGTGCTTTGTTTCACCTGCTTCACCTGCTTCACCTGCATCCGCTGGCCTTTCAAAGTTCAAGGTGAATCAAATGGCAATTTCACATGCGATACTTGATTAGTTAGCATATATGAATAGGCACATATACACACATTTGTGTGTGTGTGTGTGTGTGTTCGTGGTATTTTTCCTTTCATTTTCATTATGAGCAACTTTTCCAGTCGCTTTGCGCTTTTTGGAGCAGAAAGCATTAAGAAGACGAAGAAGAAGAAAAGTTAACGATTTGGTTTTTCCTGCGCATTTCTAACAATATGCAGATAGTTTTTCATCCTACTCCATCCCCCCCTGTCCCTGTGCCTGCATCGCCGGCTGCTCACACATCTGAAGCTGTTAATATTTTCTACACGAATGATGGACATAATTGCCATGCTCAGCTGTCACGCCCACCGCCCGCAACAGCAGCAGCAGCAGCAGCAGCAGCAGCAGCAACAGCAACAATAATTGTTTTGGCCCATATGAGGCGGCTCATCTAAATGCAGCTTGGACATACGCTGCGAATGCATCGAAAGTAAATTGCAATGCAGCTGCCGTTGCCAGCTCTGAGCTCTGCCTGCCTCAAGTTGCAACTTGCAAGCAGAGCTGAGCGAGGAGGATGAAGGGAGGGGGAAAAGCACTGCCTGAGATTTCCTTTTCTGTTTTGTTCTACTTTTTGTGCTGCTCTTGCCGCAAACAGTTGTCGCAGCATCATCAAGCGCTGGGAAAGTGCTAGCCGTCCCATTGGTCGGTCCATTCGTCTCTCTAGTTTCTAGTTTCTAGATTGTCGTTTATGATGATGTTTGCCATTAGTCGCGCGACTTTCTAGCGCTGCTCCAAGCAAAACCAAGCCACCAACTCTCGTTGCAAATATGTAAACGCTCTGCACTTTTACCTGATCAAAACGATTGCTTGTAAGAAATCGAAGACTCTATATATCCATTATGAATAAGCTAGAATGGCATTAGAAATAGGAGTATTATACTTTTGTCATGCCTACTTTAGATAATATAGAGCAGATTCTCGTCGAGGTTACTTCTTACTTCTTTCATTAAAAATTCTGTAAATCTTTCTCGAAGTATTCAATAAATTTCTCTATTTCAATTGGAAACTTTTATTTAATTTTTCGTAAAATGCTTTTGTTTATACTTACAGATCTTCAGGGTTTATTGTATTTTCTTATATAACAATAATTTTATAATAGAATAAAATGGAAAGTAGTGGAAGTAAGGTGCTATTACATAGGCTTTTTTATGCTTTGCGGAATTAAATAAATATATTCATTACCGGACAGAAATATTTATGTGACTTTCCGCAAGTCATTTAAAAGACTCTGAGAGAAATTTTGCTGACAATGTCAATGCGTTGCTTAGGCAACGCAAATAAATAACAAATCTATGAGTTAATAATTGACTTTAATAAATTGTAATATTATTAGATGACATTATAATATTAGTAAATAAGTTTATATTCAGAATGAATTTCTTTTTCTAGCTTGCAATCAGCGAAATCCTTTGCAGTATTTAATGTCGATTGCCCAACACACATTAAATGCTCTTCAGAGCCTGTTTAAGGCCTTTGATCACACAATTATCTTCGAAAAATACCCATTTAATGAACACTTAGCTGTGGCCTAATCGCGGTGCAGTTTGTGTCGTGCTTAAGCGCTTAATAACAGAGAGGGTAGCCACGACTCTTGGCAATCATTTGCCATAAATGTGAGAAATCGAGTGTTTGCTCTAAACTCAGTTAATCTGTAGATCGATCTGACTAGCTCAGTGGGTCCAGCTAGCACATTGCAAACTGGTTCCAGCTACTCTCTACTCGAACAACAACAACAGCAACAACTGTTGTTTCACTTTTCAGTAGCGAGTAGGCCAAAAGCAGGCAGATTTTCTTACTTTGTCTTAGAAAGGAAATGTTGTGACTCGACCGCCATCTCTTGCCTCTCACCCGCTACTCCCACCAACTTGTCACACTTTCTAACATCATCAGCCATAGCTCACAGTTATTAAGAAATTTAAGTATTGTAGAGCTATATAAATAATTTATAAGTAATTTATAATATAGGCCTTGTATTTATCTTGTAATTTTAATAAAATATATATTAATATGAAAAAATTAGAGTACTAAAAATTATGAAATATAATATATAAAATATTATTAATAGAAACTATTTATTAATTATTTTCTTATTAATATAATTAAAGAGATATTGCCCTAAAATTAGAATAAAATAAAAAGCTCTTCAAATATTTCACTCAGATATTAAAATTCAATATTTGCTAAATTATGTTTGATTTTTCTTCTCCTCACTTCTCAAATGTATTTTGAAAATAGACAAAAATAAAAAACTTATTCTCAATTAATGTTCGCTAGCAAAAGAACATTTCTTAGCACTCGCTTCTCGGTTCTGCTGTCTTTTCTTTATTTTTCAAATAATATAATAAAAGTTTATTTTTATTTATACTCTTACATAAAATGTATTTATCAAATGGCGGCTTTAGTTTGATGGCCTTTTCCTATTTAAGTGTTTGGCGTGGAAAACCAGACTCGGCTGCAGACTGACTTGAAACAGAGACTCAACTGTTGGTATTGGTTGTACGTGTGTGTGTGTCTGTGTGTGTGTGTTAAGTCTAGCGGCTTTTGGGCATGCAACGAGGGCAACTTTGGCTTTTTGGCAGCGTCGCTTGGTATCGAGCATTGGGCGCTGGCGCTTTTCATTCACATATAATTTATGCAAAGCTGCCGTTCGCTTGAAAAGGGAACCCTTACTGCACAAGACTATAAATATATGTATATATATATATAATTTATATGTATGCATGCATCTGCGACAAACGTGAGATAAAACAATGTGTCGAGGCAAGTCGCGGCAAATCGTGGCAATGGTAGCAATGCTTCAGTCTGGCCAAAGCCATTTGCTTAATGTCTTGCAACTGCACTGGCTTTTGTGTACATGCTGTCTCGCTCTCTCCTTTGTGCTAGCTCGCTCTTAGTCACCCACGCTAAATAGCGACCCGCAGCAGCTTTTCAGTTCAAAATGCATTTGCCGATCGCATTCGCCCATTCGCGCCAGTTGAGAAAGTTGTCTCTCGCACAGCTTGAACTGTTTTATAAATACTTTTGCAGCTACTTTCAAGTTGTTGGCCGTCAATGCATTGGTATACCCTGCCAATGCCAGTATTGGGTATATTATGCCATAGCCATATATCAATGGCACTTATCTAGCAGTCGTGCATACCCCGCCCGCTCAAGAAATTTAAATTTTGGCCAATACTCTTTCTTCTTGTATATTACTCAAGTGTTTGTTTGTTGTTTTATTGGGCTGATCTCGTTGCTAATTTTTGTGCATCGATGTGGAAAACGCTGTCCGCTTTGCCGGCAGCCAAATAACATAGTAAGTTTTCCCTTTTTATTTTTTTTCCATTTCCATTTTCCAACTACCACCTCTATGTTGGCGCTTCGCGCGCACTCACCCATGCTGAAGGCCTTAGCTACTCATTTTCTGGATTGTAGTTTTCAAGTGAGACAAGAAGACCGAGAGGAGGAGGAGGAAGAAGAAATGGTGTTGTGCCATTAGCTAGATTTGTGTTTTAGCTTAGTTAAACAATGCTGCAGACACCTTGAAGTGAGGCTTCAAAAGCTGAAAAATTCATAATTAGAGTAGATCATCATGAAGCTAGTTTAAATATTCATTTAATCAGTTTATTTCATCTCTAGTAGAAGAGCAGAAAGGCGCATGGATTACAGTCTAGTTAGGGTTTTGAATGAGTTGAGTAGCTGGAATTATGTGTTCTATTTTATTGAAAATGATCTGTTTTATGCATATTTAGAAATCTGAATTTTTAGTCATGTTAAAACCAATCTCTGGATCTATAAAGCAAATAAATAAATTTATAATATTATATTGCACCTAGTTAGATATAGAAACACATGACAAATTGTTAATTTAAATATATAAAAGTGCCTAGGTAACTTTTCTCACTTTTGTTGTCCTGTGTTCTATTTAAACATATTCCATTGTGCTTCTCTTTGATATAGCTGCCTAGGCAGGTACACAGCTAACATGCCATTAAATCTAATGATAAAGCACTTAAAAAAAGTCTAAATGAATTTCTATAGCCATTTCTTAAGAAGCTCGGCGCTATGTTCTATGAA